AGTGGTGCAAAGGGTTAAGCACAGCACTATGAGGCTGTCTGTAGCCTCTGCAGCACGAGTTCGATCCCCTGGTCTGCCAAGGAGCTACCCACATGGTGTAGCAGACCTCTCCTGTCTTGTTCTCTGCTCCCTTCAGGAATGTATTTCAGTCAGTCTGCCTGTTCTTCCCCCCTCTCTGTCTCTGGTGAATCCTCTCACCCTCCGCACCTCTAACCTGTACCCCAGTTCTTGTATGCATAAATAAATCTTAAAAAAAAAACAAACAACAACAACAACAAAAAACCCAAATATACACCTTCAACCTCACATTGCTTCTTCTCTGTTTCTTTCTGTGGACATTTCTCTTATAAGGATGCTCTCATTGGATTTAGGTCCTTATCCAGTAAGATTTCATCTAAATGTTTACTTCCATGCACAAAGAAGCTATTTGTAGATAATGTCACGTTTTGAGGCTCTGGGTGGACATCCATTTTAGGGGACATTATTCAATACATTACATTCTTACGAAGATTACTACACTTCAACTCAGATGATTTCATTAGGGTATCTAGATGTGGGAGGTATACAAAGACATTTTGAAAATTATAAAAAATAGCACAGTTTGCAATCCCTTGCACTGTGGTGATATAGCTCACTACAGATATTGTCTTTAATTTAATTTAATTTTTATTTTTTGAAAGATTTTTGTTTATTTTTATATAAGAGCTGGGGTACAGTCCAGAGGCATGGGAGGGTGAGAGGACTTGCCACAGATAGACTGGGGAGCAGAACAGGCAGACGACCGAAATGCACTGCAGAGGGGAGCAGTGGGCAAGAGAGGAGAGGTCTACTGCGCTATGTGGGTCACCTCCCTGGCAAGCCAGGGATCAAACTCATATTGTAGTGACTGGCAGTAACTTAATAGTGCTGTCTTTAACCCCTGCGCCACCAGGGAGGCCCTAAATGCAGATATCTTCACCGTGGTATAGAAAGTGTGGACTTCCTCATACATTGTGAAGTCAGACCTTCAATAGTTGAATGTGGTGGTGAAAGATAAAACTTCTGACTCCCTATGAAAAAATTAGACAAACAAAATGATTTGAATATAAAAATAAAATTCTTCTAAGATGTTAATACAAAATAACTGAAACTTTCAGTTCCATCAATAACAAACTAAGATTCTGATTCACTATATTTTTCATTTAAAGTTCATCCCCATGTTTAAGCTTTATGTTTTGTGCTTTATAATTTATATTTTCTCTTTGTATCCCTAGTTCCTATTTATTGATTGTTTTATTCAATCACTATAAGCCCATCCCAATAAGTGGCTCAGGGGTTAAAGACACAGTGCTATCAAGCTATCACCAACCACTGCAGCATGAGTTTCATGCCTGGCCAGGGAGCTGACCCACATGGCACAGCAGACCTCGCTTGTCTTGCACGCTGCTCCCCTCAGCAGTGTATTTCAGTAGATTCACCTGTTCTGCTCGCTGCTCATCCCCCTCTGCAACGCTGGCCTACACCCCAGTTCTTGTCTGCATAAATAAATAAATCTTTCAAAAATAAATACCATGGATGAGATTATGCTAAGCAAAATAAGTCAGAAGGAGAAAGACAAATACTGGATTATTTCACTCATATTGAAAACAAAGCAAATAAACAGACTGAACCAAAACAAAGCAAACCCTTGAGATCTGACTGCAGAACTGAGGCTACCAGAAAGGGGTGGGGGCAGGAGCAAAGGGGGAAAGGGGCTCAGGGAGCCATGGTGGAAGATTATGGGTTGTTGTGTCAGGTATCACCACACTGACAGAGACGGGAGTCATGGAACAGGCTGGATGCTGCTGAGAGCAAGATCCTGGCCATTTTCATTGATAGAATAATCATACAGCATCAAGCTACGTGTGTTAGGAGGACAAGGAGAAAAGGATGGGTGAAACTCAGGAATGTCATCTAGGGCTTGGGGAGACATGAGTCTGCTGACCATGTTATCAGCTTGATGACCAAGTGTTGTCATTGAAACTAGACCCCAGACCCCCGGCCATGGTCCTAATCTTATCAGCAGGGCATTCCACTGGTCAGCTTCTGGGGTCTCTTGTCATACATCTCATACATCGGTCCTCGGCCCCCTGGGCATTCCCGGTCATACCTCATGATGTATGAGTCAGGAGTAAGTTTATGCATCTGTCCTCAGCCCCCCGGGCGTTCCCGGTCATACCTCCTGATGCATACCCTTCCCAGAGTAATCAAGCTTTCTGCCCTTGATTGATTTGAAAGGCACCTTGTAAGGTTTGACTCAAATGACTGTGACTGGGCAGTTCTGACCTTTGTATGGGAATGCAGAACTGCAGCTAACCATGATGGTGGCGGAACAGGCCACTTAAATCTAGCAGCCGCTTAAGTCTAGCAGACCCACAATAGGTACTTTGGTGGTGGGCATGATGTGCTAACATATATTTATAGAGGTTTGAACTTATACACCTAAAACACATGCAGTATTGTAAATCAATGTAACATCAATAAACATAATTAAAAGAGAAAAAAAATTAACCTATAAGCCCATCCCTATATGATTTTCTCTGTTTTTCACAATGTGATCAGGGAAGTCATGACATATAAAATTTAGATTAGCAAGACCTTTGGGAAAAAATGAAATATCAACACTCTGGTTTCCCTGTCTTCAATTCCACAGTTTTGTGTGGTGAGGAATTAATAGCACAGACTCTGAAGCTAACCTTCCTGGACTGACATCTTGGCCCTGCCACTTCAGTGATATTAGGCTTATTCTAAGACTTAAATTATTCTAACAATTTGTGTTCCAGCTTCTGTGCCATCACATATAACAATAAGACAAATAAGAGCATACTTCAAAGGGTAGTTGTGAAAAAATATCTTCATGATAATTTCAGTTTGTAGAAGGTCTCTGGCACATAAAAATAACTCCACGAAGATAGTATCTTACATTCATTCCTTCTTCCTTTTCTTCTCCCTGACTCTTTTTTTTTTTTTTTTAAATTTTCTAGAGGCATGTCTTATTTATTTATTATTTGTTTGTTTGTTTGGTTTATACATGCACTGGGTACAGTCAGAAGCGTGGGAGGGTGAGAGAATTCACCAGAGCCAGAGCGGGGAGCAGAGCAGGCAGAAGGACCGAAGTACACTGCTGAGGGGAGCAGCGGGCGGCAGGAGAGGTCTGCGCGCCATGTGGGACCCTCCTCTGGTGGCTGGGGAGCAGCCGGGGATCGAACCGGTTGCAGAGGCTGCGGGCAGCTTCGCAACCCAGCGCTCAACCGCTGCGCCACCAGGGAGGCCCTCTCCCTGACTCTTAACAATAAATCAATCTCTGATATATATTTAGTTTTTTAAAGATTTATTTATTTATGCATACAAGAACTGGGGTACAGGACAGAGGTGTGGGGGGTGAGAGGATTCACTAGAGACAGAGTGGGGAACAGAACAGGCAGACTAAGTGAAATCCTCTGCTGAGGGGAGCAGCGGGCGAGTCAGGAGAGGTCTGCTGCGCCATGTGGGTAGCAGCCTGGCCAGAGGATCAAACTTGTGCTGCGAAGGCTGCAGATATCGTCATAGGTTGCATCTTAACCCCTTGCGCCACCAGGGAAGCACTGGTATATCTTTAAATAAGAAATCTAATTAAAATATATGCTTTCTGGGGCTCCCTGGTGGTGCAAGGGGTTAAGACACATTCTATGAGGCTGTCCACAGCCTCTGCAGCACGAGTTTGATCCCTGGCTGGCCAGGGAGCTACCCACATGGTGCAGCAGACCTCTCCTCGCCCACTGCTCCGCTCAGCAATGTACTTCAGTCAATCTTCCTGTGCTGTTCCCTGCTCTGTCTAAGGTGAATCCTCTCACCTCCCACACCTCTGGCCTGTACCCCAGTTCTTGTATGCATAAATAAATAAATCTTTAAAAAAATAAAATATATACTTTCTCCTATGAGATCTTATGAGTATATTATGCACATCTTCTTCCAATTTTTCCACACTTAAAGAATATGATTTTCTCAGACAGCTCTGTGTTTAAATTAAAACTTCACATTTACCTAAAATTCTAAGTGACTGCATTTTCATTTCTAATGTTTCACTTTCTTGTAGTTATCATGTGATAACTTCAGGAATCATAATACATTTTTGATGGACATTTCCTAAATTACTTTTATTCCCTTTGATATATAAAAATATTTGATCATTTGAAATAATTGCCTTTCTGTCATAAGGATTTCTTTACTTTCGATGGATCAAACCATCTTTTTTCAGAAAATAATCTATTTTTATTGATGATTTACTACAATTTTATTGTGCTATATAAACACTAAAATGTGTTTTATGTTTATCAAATGTTTAAGTGTATATATATATATATTATATATAATGTATAAAGGCAATCTGTAAACCCTAGTGAAAATGGAATACACTCTGAAATTGCCTGAGGTCATAGAGATTATTGCCACAACTAAAAACTTTGGTAACATCCCAACTGGAAAATATTAGATTTTAGAAGATACAACCTATTTGTTATTTGCCTGTTGAAGGACTAGGAAAAATAGTATTTCTGTTTTTTCATGAGTTTATAAAAATATTATCGGTCTTAAAACAATAATGTTATATAAAATATTCAGAATTTAATGGAAATTATTTTCTCTTCTAGGCTTGAAATTCTAGAACATAACAGTACTGACAATGAATGCATACATATAAATTATCTCTGGGTAATTGCTGAAGATTGCCAAAGTAATGGCTACTGTATCTGTAAGAAGACAGTCTATTAACATCAGATCAGAAAGTGGACATCTAAGATTTCCCGTTGTGATGACTTCAACTGTGAATATTTACTTAGCTAAAAATCAATGTCATTATACATTGAATTTCATTTATTATTCTTTTGATTCATCTATTTAATAGTAAAAATAAAATAAACACCTTATTAATAACATAAATTATACAAAGAAATAAGGAATGTGAAGGACCACTATTGGGAACAAAATATGAAATAAAATCCTCCATGCTGGACAGAGATATTAAGAAATTTCCAGATGTTCAAATCTTCCAGTACCTTCAAAGTAACTCTTGTCACTGTAGTCACATACTCATGTTAATGGATCTGTACAAGACCAAGCTTCCTGTGTCTCATGATGGTATCTATGGGAGGAATGAATGCTCAGGGAAGAAGACAAAATTACCTGATAAAATAAATCTCTAGAAAATTATAAGGTAAGATAATGGATAAAAAATGTTTCTAGCCTGTCAGGAGACATTTCAAATTTGTTCACCACACAAAGTACACAGAGTTTGAAAATGCATAGTCTGCCCTCAGTGAGAAAAGTAAAGAGAATTGACAGCAATACCACTGTCCATCTGTGACTATGCAGGTGTCACTTTTCACCAACTCTCCCCCTCTGCAGGGCAGCAGCCTTCCTGCCTGCAACCATATAGGCCTCTCTCAGAAACCTGTCCCTTCTGGGGCAGCTCTTCCTGCCTGCTTGTGTCTATGCAAGTGTCTTTAACTGTTTCATCCCTTCTCTAATAAACCTGCCCTTTAAATATATATATATAAAAGAAAAGTAAACAGAATTTACTTCATTCACAAACAAGGAATTTTACTGCCACTGGTCACACACTGAACTTTAAGCACTAGAGCAGACACTTGTACAAATTAAAGAGCTGTGTTTGTTTTCATGATGCTTATGAAGTAGAGGCAGGAGTGACATTACTAAATAAATTAATAATACATAATATAAATAAAATAAGTTCTTACAAGCGGGCAAAGGAGAATAAAATAAAGACCTGGTTTAGGAAAAATTAGTGAAGACTTTCTGAACAGTAATATTTAGGGAGAAAGCTGAGAAATGAATAACATTAACAAAAAAAAAATAAGGATCCAGAACTAGGAGCATTTCACAGAGACAAAGAAGCAGCAAGTGGAAAGTTCTTGTGTTGGAATGAACATGAAGGGGCTGGATCCCCAGAATTCCGGGGTGGGGTAGAAATGGTGGGATACAATTGTGGGGAAGGAGAGACACAGAAAATACACAGATTGAAGACTGTGAGACGAACTTCGCCATCTTCAGGTTACTCTCAATCTTTAAAGTTCCCAAATTGATCCACAACAGAAGGAAGCTTCCTGCTCTTCCCCCTTCACAATCACACACAGGACTGCCAGACACCAGGGGACCTGGGGCCACAGATGTTCAAATCTTCCAGTACCTTCATTGCTATAGACACGAAAGAAGCATGGCTCCTCTGAAATAAATGGAAGTAAAATTTTTATTTTTAGGATAAAATTAACAGCACACATTTAAATATTTAAATATTCAAAAAAGTCAAGCTTTTGCAATTGGTCAAAATTGCAGACCTCAGAGTAATGGAGGTGATGAGTTATGATGGCTAATACACACATACATGCACACACACACACACTTAACGCACATATACATAGTTTTACTCCAATACTTGCAAATCAGATTTCATGATTTATTAGATGTATATAATGATATATTAGTGTAGTATCTAGAGAAAATGGCTTCAAGTGGAACTGCAGTTTTTTGTTTACTTGTTTTAGTTTTTGACATAATTTCAGATTCAACCATGCCTGAAAAAGTAGTACCAATGAAAGATTGATGTAAACCCTTTATCCAGATTATTTAATGCCAAAGTTGTTAGCGTCATATATTAGATATCCTTATCTATCTCTCTACCTGTCATACAGTCCTACCTGCTGAATCACAGCTTGGGAATGGGTACATTCCCTAACCAGGAATGAGAGTTAATAAAAAGTCTTCAAGACTGACAGATTGTTACTGATCTGAACAGTATCCTGTTTGGGTAGTGAGGCATCTTAAATTCTTGAGAAGACCTTTTACTACCCTGTTCTTTTCTTTTTGCCTAATTCATATAAAGATATACGGGCCATAGCATTTTACAATGTAATGGTTTTGCCTAGAGGCCAATAAAGTGGCTCAGTGCCTTTTCAATGATACTCAGTAAAATATCTGTGCTTTAGACATTAACAAGTGACCAACTTATCAACTAATACCCAAAGGTCCTCAACACTCACCACATAGAAACTATTTCCAGCTTCAAGGGGTTGCAAAGCCACAGTGCAGCCAGCAAGCTCTTTGCAGCGCCTACTTGAGGTTCTCACTTCAGTCCATGTGATGTACTTGTTAGTGAGAAAAGATGTGCTTTAAGGCTCAAAATTAAGAAATTTTGAAGCATGTTATATGCTTTCTTGTGGATTTATAAACATTGCTCTACCATAAACAATTGGAGAATGCCAACTTTTATCTAAAATATATATCACCAACTAGGTAGCTATTATTCGGATGTTTCATTTTCTGTGTAGAATCTCATTTTATAAAATAGACATAAGGTCATGTCAAGGACCATGAAAGAACTAAATATATCCACAATTTCCACATTGTTTTTATATCTTGTATTGAGGTCTTAATGAGCTATTCCTGAATTTGAAGAAGAATTATTTGTCACTCTGATTTTAATGTTTATGTGTTTATTTCTCTTGATGGAAAAGAGTTGTCTTTCTGCTTTTAATTTGGAGCTGCAAAATCATCATCTCTACACTGTAGAAGGACAGGGCAAGACCTGATTTAAAAAAATGTCAAGAGCTTTAACACTAGGTCAAGGATATTCAGATATTCAAGCATAAATGATTTATAGAGCATACATACTTGTGGAATCCTCACATTAAAGAAAACATTGCACATACCGAATTTCTGGTATATTATACAATTCTACATCAATGAAATAGTGGAAGCCAAAATTCTTCTCTGAGGTTGTAAGACATGCACATTTAGCACAGCAGGGGCTCTAATGTGTGCCCAGTAAGGTGTTAAAATTCTCTTAAGAAGAACCAACTCATTAAAGGAAACTGTAAGCAAAGGAAATAAATCATTTACCTGGTTTTTAACAATAATACTTCAGAGTAACAAAATAATTGCTGGTAATATGTTTTCTAAAATATAAAAACAGGGATTATGTGACGATGGATCCATGAGTTTAGACATGTAATAAAATTTGTTAAATTGTGTACACACAGACACATATATACACTCAAGCACATGCATGTATGTAAAACTAGTGAAATCTGATTGTACTGATGTAAAAGTCCTGTTTTTGACATTGGGCTCTAGTTGTGTAAGGTTTTTTTATTAGAGAAAATTGAGTAAATGGTGCAAGAGAGCTCCCTGTGCTGTGGTATTGTCACTGCTTTCTGTCAATCTATATTCATTTCAAAATAAAAAGTGAAAGCAAAGCCCAGAAGTTAACAGAAGACAGTGTATTTGTTCTTCCTTGTTAGCACTAGCTGTCCTCATTTTCCTTTCCTTCTTATGTCTCAGCTACATGTCAATTTCTCTTATATTTTAACATAATGTCTTTTCCATGTCAGTGGTGGTAAATTCAGAAATGATTTATGTAATAAATGTTTTCAGATAAAGCTCATGGAAGATACTGCTCATCTTGATAATTTTATTTTCTTGCTGATTCTGGACTTAAAGAATGTCATCCATAAATATATTCCCTAATTCATTACACTTGGTACACAAGAAATTCACTCTCAGATTTACTGTTTATTAAAGTAAATCCAAATATGTAGATCAATGATAGGCTTATTCATAAAAACCTACCTGAAGTAAAATAAATATAAACACAACAATATTTGAAAAGGAGGTACAATTTTCCAATCTTCATCCTTCTAGATTTTTAGTATCTGAAAATTTCCTTGAGATAATCTTTATTATATATTTTGCTTTCTGTAAAATGGATGCCACTCCCGTATCCAAATTGGGCCCCAACTGATTTCAACCTGTGTGTCTAACCCACAGGTCACTGTAATTTGTATCCATAAGATGGTGATGAGTCTCAGAGAGCTGCGCAAGGATGAGGAACATAAACAGAACACATGAGGGTTAATATGAATTTGTTCTAGCTACACAGATTTCAAAATCTGAATGAGGAACTGAATGTGGGCTCACAGTAGCTGAGGCAATTGTAGAGTGTGTGTGTGTGTGTGTGTGTGTGTGTGTATGGAACAGTAATGGGAGGTGACTGTAGTTCTACCTTTTTATTCTTTTTCTTCCCTGGCTGACTTAAGGAGGCAAGTAAAAGCACAAATAAATATGGAAATACCATCCGTTCTTCGTAAACAAAATGAAAATCCACAAAATGTTTAGACACAGAGAAAGATGGCTTGATTTAAATATATTGAATGTGTCTTGGAGAAATACTGCCTGATTTCAGATCAGTTTCTTTGACAAGTTGCTTAGTTCGATCAAGTTGCTTAATTTTCTCACTGGTAAAATGAGTATAATTATGGATCTTCATTATTAAATCAGTTTCAGAGATAAAAGTGATTATATATGCTAAGTGTTTTTAGTCGATGTTAGAACAATGTAAATATAGATGTTACTTATTTTTAAAAGAGGGATATATTATTTGTGGAATTTTATTATATTAAGGCTAATATACATAGGTTTGCCCATGCTCCTCTATTTTTGAATGGTTTTAAAATAATTTGTAAAAATCATTTGATGTCCAAACATTAAAAAAAAAAATCTCACTCTGACCTTTTATCATAAACAAAGGGAGGCGCAGGGCAGGTACTGTGATAATTTCCTGTATTGTGGTTCCGGAACATTTAGAAGCTGGTGATTTTGCTACTTTTGATTCACACTGTTCGTCCATTCTCACCAAATACATAGGTGATTTAGATTATTATTTAAATACACAATTTTCCTTGTTCTTTTAACTTTCTTTTTACACAGCGTTTGGGTTCCTAAGCCTTCAGCTGATTCTATGATCCCACCCGGAGATTCTGGAACAAGCGAGCCTTCCATGTATTGACCCGGAGCACCCCTCCTCATGGCAGGTACGTTCAGCCCCTACTATACAATTAAAAAATAAAACCCATCCAGGAAATATATGCCATGGATATTGATTATTTCAGGATGGAGCTGGGAAACACATGAGATTTTTAGGTTTTGTCTATGATGACTTTTATTTCTCTGATTCTTCATTCTGTACCAGAAATTATTTTGCGAAACTTCTCTAAAGGTAAAAGGATGGTTTCTGACAAGGATAGCACTAAATACTTAGAGGGTCAAGTTACATGATTCAATTATGAGCAACACAATTTGAGCAGGGAAATAAGTGGAGAATGCCAAACATTAATGCTGATGCTTCAATTTATAAAAATTCAAGATTTTGTTTTGACATCCTAAGGCACCCAGATGAACAATTTGACAAATTAGGCTGATAATGACAACATTCTTAGGAAATGTGCCAGTGTTAATGCAGAATCTTCTAATGTTCAATTGTTTTTGGGAAATGCCTATAAGAAAGTAATTTGGGGATTGAGAAAATTCTGTGCCTTATAACCAATGGTTGCTTATGTATTACCATTCATAGTATGTAAAATAAATGCAGGTCACTGTGGTGTCACCCTGCATTTGTTGGGGAGCCTCTCATCATACCAGGTCCAGGGTATCTTATGCCTTTTCTTCCCCATGCAATATCTACAGAATTATGAACAGTCTGACATTTATCAGAACAGGGACTGCATTACAATTAATTTAAGAAGGGCACACTTTCAGCAAGTATTATTTTCACAATGATAACACGTTATATGAAAGACTATGCGACCTGGCAAACTCATTATACTTCTGAGTTCGATACCTACTAGCTTTGATACCTTGAATAAATAACATTATTAATGAGTCTTAACTTTTCTGCTTACTGGGAATTATACTTCTTGTGCTATTTCTTAAGAAAATAAAAATTGGTGTTTGCTATGAAGACCAAAAACATAACTTTGTGTCTGTTGAGCTCCTCTTACTCTAGATCTTCATATTTCTATGCCAAAGAGAAAAAAAAAAAGAAAAAAAAATCTGGTTAATCCACATCACTAATATGGATTTTGTGAAAACGAAAAAAAAAGTAAGGGAAATTTACAGAGGAATAAGTTTTGGAGTTGCTTGAAGTTTTCAATAGCTTGTCTTCATTTTCCAGTTTTTCACTGGAAAATTATATTATATTATACAGCAGGCCAAAAAATGTTTTGGGTTCTCCCCTTCTAGTTCCTGCTTTTAAGAACTTCTGTGTTTTTCCCTGAAGTTATTACCCTACCTCCCTTTTCCTTCAGCTTTTCAGACCACTCAGTGGAGATGGATTTCTGGGATCTTAGGAGTAATATGCCTTTCGTTGGTGGCTATTTTGGGAATTGTGTTGAAAACCCGTAAGTTTTTCTTGACAAATCTATATAATATTCAAAACTTTGATAAGCAGCTTTACAATAAATGTTTTATTTAAAAATTTGCAATATTTTAATATTTTCAAACTTGTGTCTAATAGTTTCTAATCATTTTTATAGATGTGTATAAACCAAGTAGTGAGCCAACAGTTTCTCCAAGAACCACCACTGAATTCCAGGAAGGTAGGCTCCATATTTTATAAACCTTGGGACTGGTAGAGGATGAAATAGATAATTTCCTGTTTTGCTCACACAAACTAATTAAGGAATCTTCTAATCTAGTTACACAAGTTGACCTAATAACTATAAGATAGTCTCATTTCATTTTTCTCTAATATTAGAATGATTATATTACATTGAATGCATTATTTATATATTGATATTAAAATGTAAAATTAACACTAGCCTGAAGTGACCTAATTTTTCCTGCATGAGTGTTCACATTGTAGTAAAAAAAATCAAAACTGAGTTGCAGTACTTCTCCCAGCTAATCTTAATTAATTTGCAGTGTTTGCTCATAAACTATTAATTTCTGTCTCTTTACCTTTGTTTCTTTATCTTCTGTGACTCAGAATTTAGTGCCTCATGTCTTAAGCTCTAAATCCTATTTATCCCCTGAAAACCAGCTCAAAATTCATTTTTGAATGTATTTTATCCAAATGTTTTCCATGTTGTCTTTGCATTTTCTGTGATCATATCTCATTTCATGTTTATGTCTTTGCCCTTCAGTTTCTTTTCCTGCTCACTGGAATACAATTGGCATAGAATATCATGCATATTTAAGACTTACAAAGTGTTAATTTGATAAACATTGTGATATGATGGCACCATAGTATCAGCTAACACCTCTATTACATCTCATAATTACCATTTCTTTTTGTGTTGAAAAAATTAAGATCTAATCTTTATTGCAAATTATAAGTATATATTAGAGTAATATTACCTGTTTTCACAATGTTGCACATTAGATACTTAGAATTTATTCATGTTCTAACTGGAAGTTTATATCCTTTGATCTTCATCTTCTAATTTCATACCCCTTCTCACCCCCTCATTGTAGTCACATGCCAGCACCACTCATTTGGCTACAATTTGAGTCCCTACCATGTGTCATGACTTTTGTCACTGAGGATGGTAAATATTCAGGATACTACAGTGTAAACTGTAGGATGAGACTTTAAACTAATTTTTTTTTGTATCTTTCTTTATAAAATAAAATACCCAGCACACATATCAGAATTCTTTCGACATACAAAATTTTTTATTTTCCAGGAAATATGCCACAACACTGGTCCTTTAAAGATCTCTAGGATCTAATGCACTCTTAGATCTATTTACTCCAGACTACAGAAAAAAGAGCAGGTTCAACAGAAAAATATTTTTAGCTGTATCTAGAATATTCAACTTCATAGTCAGATTTTCAAAAATTTTGTAGAAAAAAATGAATAGATTACAAATAATTTTTCAATGAGTATAGAGCACTGAAATATAATCTCCACTGTAAACAGCTGTGTGTTATTTTTCTTTTAGACTCTGGAAACAGTTCTTGCCAAGAAAAATGGGTTGGCTATCGGTGTACCTGTTACTTTATTTCCCATGAATCGAAAACTTGGGAAGAAAGTAGACATTTCTGTGCTTCAAGGAATTCTGCTCTACTTCAGATGCACAACAAAGATGAATTGGCATGTATTTAATTCTGGCCATATATGTGTTTTGGTCTGGGAAAATGTACCATCTCAAGGAACTGAATAATTTGATTTAAGTCTTTAATCAGATAGTATCGGATTTTTTTTAACTGATGATTTACTAATATCCTATAACTTGAAACAACCATTATAAAATCTCCATGAAATTTGTCAATGATTTGTGTTGTTAGATGAGAATTCAAGACAAATGTCAAATAAAATACAAGAACTATTTTAGAGAAAATTTAAAGATATTGTAGGTTTATTTTATTTAAGAACACAACTAAATATTTGTAATTTTTCATCTTCAATTGATTATTTATTTATTTACTTTAACGATTTATTTATACAAGAACTGGGGTACAGTCAGAGGCGCGAGAGGGTGAGAGAATTCACCAGAGACAGAGCGGGGAGCAGAACAGGCAGAAGGACCAAAAGCACTGCTGAGGGAGCAGTGGGTGAGGCAGAAGAGGTCTGCCACGCCATGTGGGTTTCTCCCTGGCTGGCTGGGAATTGAACTGGCGCTGCAGACAGCTTCACAGTGTGGTGCTCATCCTGCTGCACCACAGGGAGGGCTGATAATTTGTTTTGTAATTCTGAATATTTTGGCATCATTTTGGGAGGTGGAATGAATATGAAATATATGATCATAAAACATATCCGATTCTTAAGAAAAAGTGAAACATTTTTCTCATCCCATGCAGAATATATGCTGGACATAGGTTGAGATTATAACAGCAAAATTTATCCCCTAAGTCACTGATATAGAATCAAATTTGAATGTTCTCCTTACAAAGAAAGTGTTTTTTGAAAATGCTAAACTCCATTTGTAATGATTTTCATTCTGTCTAGATGTGAGATTTTGTGGTATTTTTTTCTGTAAGTGGATGGGCGTGTTATGTGAAGGTATATAAGACATGTGACTACCTCCTAAACCAAACATAAATGCTTTCAGTTTGTGTGATTGAAAGGCTAAATCTGATGTTGGACACTTACTTTTAAAAAATATGTTACCCCAGAGTAGATTTAATTAGGTCAGTTTGTTTGTTTCTGTTTCTAAGCAGAACTTTATGAAATTCAGTGGAGACTATTTCTGGCTTGGAATCACCTACAGTGAAAAACACCGTGACTGGGTGTGGGAGAATGGCTCTAAAATCTCCCCGGATCTGTAAGTTGTTGCCAGTCTAGGGATTCTCTGTTCTTTATGACTTTATTCTTATCTCACCACTGATGTAGCCAAGATAATCTACCTTGGCCATGAGCATACAGAAAAACTAGATTCAACAGAATAACAATCTTAGCTGCATCTGAAAAATATGTTATGCTCAAGTGACATAACATTTGTGGTATGACCATAGTAGAGCTTGTGACAATGTTTTTTTTTCTCTTTAATGGGTATATGTATGTGCACAGATGTAACATTCTCAGAGACTGTCCAGAGAAAACATTATAACCGTGATTTTCTTTATTTTGCTGGATCCCAATATTCTCAGCTTTGTTTTACAAATTTTCAGTTATTATTTTCTGAATATTTTTTTTAAAGATTTATTTATTTATGCATACAAGAGCTGGGGTACAGGCCAAAGGTGCGGGGTGGTGAGAGGATTCATCAGAGACAGAGTTGGGAACAGAACAGGCAAACTGACTGAAATACACTGCGGAGGGGGCGAGGTCTGTGCGCCATGTAGGTTTCTCCCTTGCCTTCAAGCATGGAACTCGCTTCTGAGGCTTTGGATTGCTTCATAGTGCTGTGCTTAGCCCCTTGCGCCACCAGGGAGGCACTTTTCAGTATATTTTTAGTTTTTTAAAATCTCGTTTTCATAAACGTGGGATTTTCAGCATCAATCAAATTGCATGCCCTAACTTGTTTTCCTAGACTAGTTTAGTTAATATAGTATATGCAGAATTGAAGAAAAGTATATCATATATCAAATCCACTAAAAAACAAAGACAAAAAACTCAGTCTTTGTGTTATTAGCTATTGAGACAACAACGTAGGTTTCATACTTTACTCTGAAATCATGAAAATTGTCACTATTGAATAAAAACCACATGTCATCTCAGTATGTATTGCATCATTCATATGCTTTGAAAAGTTCTGTCATTTAATAAAAACGACATCCCCCCAAATTCTCATTTCTTTTCCCAAATGTTAACATTTTTTCTTTTTAATTGCAGGTTGTCAATATCTCATATTGCAGAACAAAATTATTGCATAGCATACAGGCCAAGTGGCAGTACTTTGAGAGATCGCTGCACAGAGAAAAACTTTTATATCTGTAAACAACAACTGATTTAGGTAGAAGTGAGCAGAAGGAGTGGGCAATGGAGGTCCACCTCAAGAATGGTAGCTTTACCTCTCATATTATTACAATTGTCTGCTTCTTTTTTTTTTTTTTAGATTTATTTATTCATTCACACAAGCACTGGGCACGGTCAGAAGCGCAGGAGGGTGCAGAATTCACCAGAGGCAGAGCGGGGGACAGAACAGGCAGACTGTCGAAGTATACTGCTGAGGGGAGCAGCGGGCGGCAGGAGAGGTCTGCGCGCTATGTAGGACCCTCGCCCGGTGGCCAGGGATCGAACTGGCACTGCAGAGGCTGTGGGCAGCTTCGCAACCCAGTGCTCAACCACTGTGCCAGCGGGGAGGCCCTACAATTGTCTGCTTCTAGAATATGGAAAATATTTCAAATTGTGTCTGATCATGTGATTTGAAAATATTTGAAAAATATTTTAAAATTTATCAATTTGTGCACCAACCTGAAATGATAAAACATCAAAATAAAGATTGTAATGAAAATTTTGCTAAATACACGTTTAACATTGAATTTGATACATATTATGCATGTTTTTTTGTACATTTTCACTGCAGAAATTTAAATAAAATAAACACTTTCTGCAAACACTGTATGTCAACATCATTTTAGTTTTTTGTATGAAATACTAAATTGGGAAGTTCTATTTTCTTCATGTTTCTCAAAATCAGTTCTTTATATTAACAAGCTTACATTTTGACAATTATGGGTCTTGATGTAAGGCCTCTTGCATTTAGATAGCTAGGTGTTCTATTAGTTTCATGGAATTGTGCAGTTAAATATTTCCCCATGTGTTAGAAAAACTGAAAGGAACAAATAGCCTGTGAGTGATGTTCTGCATGAACTACAACTTCTGATATTTTTACAAACTCCACTCTTTTCTCCCAGCCCGTGAGATTGCAGAAGTTTAGGATTACAATTCCCAGCATTCCATCGATCTATTTCCTGATCTAGTCTGTTGAGAACTATGGGCAGAGTTTAATAACAATGCTTGACTCAAAACTTGAACAAATGGGTGCTCTAGCTCTTGCCTTTCCAAGTTCAACTTGTACCCTGGCTGTTCACATCAAATGGTGTTGCTTATAGGAAGTGTTCAGCAATTTGTCTGTCTCTCTCTTTCCTCTTCCCATTGCAAATAAACCCTTTGAAAATTTATCTCTATATATCTACTTTGGGTATCATACTGAGTTTGTAAGTATGAGAGTGAGAATTCATATCTAGGTCACCCCCTTTTTCCTTGTGGTACAAAGAAACAACTTGGTGCCCAACAGTAAGACCATCATACCATGTTTGATCAGCTTCAAAGACCCTTCCGTGTTTTGGTCACCATATCCACATTGCAGTTGTGAAACACACAGTGAGATTTTTCACTCTGTTTAGAGGACCTTGGTTTTGCATCAATAAAGTTCTTTCTGTGCTGATCTAGACATCAGTTTAGCCACTAGTTCAGACTGTTCTTCCTCATATTTTTTCTTCCAATCTTGGTATGAGTAATATCATGGAGTCTGGTGCATGGAAGATGATTTTCGTTTTATGGAAGGTACTGTATATGGGCTCAGTTTCAATCTTCACCTTAATATTTTCTTTTTCCTCTGGGAGGCTTATCAGGAGTGTGTGTTCAGCATTTTCTAAAAATTGTGTTCAATTAAGAGGAGTCCAATCTTCTACTTCAACCGAAATTGTACTTGGGCAAATACTGACTGCCTTCTGTAAACTAGGTTTAGGAAAGACCGAGGCCTGTTTGAGGGCACAAAGATGGATGAAGATGCATTCCTCTCATCCAGATAGCATCAAAAGGGAGAAGGAGGAGGAGAATCATCAATTAATGGACAGTTTGAACCCAGCAATGGAGAATTCCATTCAAGAGGTCAACATCCCATCTACCAAACTACATAAAGTATTTTAAAATTTGCTTTGCACTTTTATTATTCTGAGTTGATTATATCTGTACTTCATCTATGCCCTCTGTACTTGTATTTTTCCAGAGAATACTTTGATAACTAATTCCCTTAGCCCATACCAATGTGTTCAGTATTAGGTTGGAGCAAAAGTTCGGTTAAAAAGGTTTTTCTCTATCACATTTAATTTTGATTAATGTTCAAAATTCCAAGTGGAATCTAGGGACAAGTAGTTTAATATTTGAATTTTAACTTGCAGTAATGATAATCATTGCAATTCCTTTTTCTATATGATGAAATTTGTAAGAAACTTCTTGAGCCCTTCTGAAAACATTTTTAGATATAACTATCAACAGCTTCACCAGAGATTATATATATCACCAGGCAAATAACAATGTGGTGAAGGTTGCCCCTGGTGGTTTCATGGTTCCCAATGCTTCCTTGAATTCTCTTTTCCCTCTTGTCTCACATTATTTGCTTTATTGCATGAGTTTCTTGAGTATGTTCATTGTACCATTATGGTTTCATTCCATTTTCTAAGCCTGTAAATCCTTTTATTATTTAAACATTATATTGAATCTTTTGAATCTTTTCTATTTATATCTTAGTGCAGTGTGTTGAAAAGCTCTTTCTAAAGAAGTAGGTAGAAAATACTTTCAACTTTGAGGGCCAGGCTCTGCTGACATTACTCCACTTTTTCACCGAGGGAAAAAGAAGATATGGATAATAGGTAAATGGTTCATCTGTGTTGCATAAGAACTTATTTCGAAAACAGATAGTGGAACAAGTTTGGGAAATTCTAGTTTTTTTCCTCCTATGCTTAGTTTTCATATCATTGTGATAAAAAAGATAATTGTTTGATTGGTAAGAACATTTTAACATCCATGTCTCCCTCACTCCAAAAATCAATTTAAAAAGCAAATTAAAAATACACACGATCCATGCCTTTTGGAATGGATCTGGAGATACAGATACCACAGACTTAAAATTAAATGTGATAGAGAAAAGACATTTTAACAGAACTTTTTCTCCAACCTAATACTGAACACATATGGGCTAAGGGAATTAGTTATCAAAGTATTCTCTAGAAAAATACAAGTACAGAGGGCATAGATGAAGTATACATATAATCAACTCAGAATAATAAAAGTGCAAGAGCAAATTTTAAAATACTTTATGTAGTTTGGTAGATCATTAAAATGAGGAGGGATTTAAAATATAAAACAAGAAGTGAAGAACTTGGAAAAGCATTTTTCCTCTCTAGGAGAAGCAGATAATAAAGAAGAAGAGCATCTCTTAGAGATGTCAGTGTGAAAGCAAAGCCCAATTTGGAGGGTTTGAAGATCTAAAGAAAAAGAGAAGACAGACATGTTGATGTCTTCCTCACCTCATATCATCACAATCTGGAAATGAAAATGTGTGATATAGGAGAGTACTGAAAGAACAGGGAACTTTGTACCAGGAACCTTGAGCAGTAAATATGAATGAAAAAAAAAAAGACTACATTCTCAAACAATGAATTTTTAAATTTTTTTATTTTTTACATCATTTTTCATTTTTGCACAATGCATGCATTTTCATCTTGGTTATAGTCCCCATACAATTCCCACCCCCCTTATTTTGACTGTAATCCCTCCTAACCCCCAATCCCAGTAGTGTGTCTCTGGTTTATAGTTGCTTGTTGATTTTGATCATGTTCAGCAAAATAAGCCAGAAAGGAAAAGAAAAATACCGGATGGTCTCACTCATAGCAGGAATTTAGAAAACCTAAATAAGGGACCAGGAAAAAGGCTAATTATAATAAAGTAAAATTCAAACAATGAATTTTTAATAGGTGTTCAATATGGACATGTGGATAGGCATTTGTTAAAGGTTAAATTGTATATATTCCTCAAATCATATACATGAGTAAACTTCAAAGGAATCATAAATCTTAATATGTACAAGGAAAGTACAAATATCCTAGAGGATAACTGGAAACATTTCTCTATGGTCTGGGGAAAGCTTTCTAATTTTTATAATTCAAAATCGGATATAATAAATGTAATGGTAGAAAAATATGGTTTAGAATAAAACACTTAAAGTCAAAATAACACATGAAAACTTGGAAAAATATTCCCAACATACATTGCAGATAATAGACTAAAATCCTTAAGACAGAATGTTTAACATAGAGGAAAAAGATGAAATTGCATAGAAAAAAAAAAGGTCAAAGTCATCTGGAAGGTTAATTCATTCCAATAGATATCCAAATGACAAGAACATTAAAAAAAATTAAGTGCAATCATCATAAGAGTAATGCAAAGGAAAATTACACTGAATTCCATTTTTATTCTGTCATTTAGGCAAATATTTATAAGCCTGATGAAGCTGAAGGCAAAATTCACATTTTCATACATTGAAGGCAGGGTTGTTAAATGGTACACAACAATGGAGGAATTGCTCCCTGCTCCCTTCTATCCCTCCCCTCCCTTCCTCTCCTCTCCTCTCCTCTCCTAGCTTTAGTTAGCCTGCTATGCTAATGAAGCAACTCTTAGAGAGGACTCCTGATATATTTGTGACTTACTTTTTTTATGATGAATGGCTTTGATTTTTGTTAATTTAGATATCCTTTTCTGTTTAATGTCTGTTAAGTCTTCATTTATTGATCCCAAAGACATATACTGATACATATTAGATGATGTGTAGATAATACATATATATGTATGTACATATATATAAACCCTACGCATAACCAAAAGTTCAATCGTGGAAATGGCAAATAAAATCAACCACTAAGACATCTGATAAAGGAACAAAAAACTTAGTAGTACAGAGCTAAGATTTAATAAGCCAAAAGTTTAGTTCAGTGGCACCAATTGAAAATCAAAAATATATCATTATTTTGGCCACACAATTGTTGATAAATTGGAAAAAATGAAAGGTAGTAGGTGATTAACTAGCAACATATAATACCTGATTACTGCAAAGAGACAAAAATAACACAAACACATTAATAACCACTGAAGCCATTGATAAAGAAAATGTAGTTTAACATTAAAAATATTCACATAGTATTTCATACAGATTTTATTTAAACTTTAAGA